TGTAGAAACAAAGGGTAATTAATATTTAAAAAAAAGTGGAAAAGCTTTGTGTACAGCTACATGCACTTGTGTGTAACAGAGCCATAGGCATTTGAAGGGATTGACTTGCCACCATTAGATACTATATTTTTCCTCCAGCCACACGCAGTGCTTTAAAGCCTGCAATACAAACAGGGCAGTCCTGATATGAGACATTTCTATGAATGGGAATTCTCCTTTTAAAAGATTATTGTCTACCATTACACTTTTAGCTCCCTCTACACATTGTACTTCTTAAATATACCATGTTCTGTAAAGTACTGATTGAGCTAAGCATATAGTAAAATACTAAGTTGTATGGAATATAAGTTTCAAATCAAAATATTTTCTTCTTCAGCAATGAGCATAATCAAGATGCATGTGCCAACTGGAAAATAAATGTAACGCTTGCTGTTGCTGATGAGGCTATCCAGGACAGGGTGAAAGACCTGGGTGCGTTCTTCAACTGACACAACAACTTTGGCAAAGAACTTGATATAAATAGTGCACTAGAGTTGTGAAGGAGGTTGTAAACAGGATTAGAACAGGTTCCTGCCAATTGCTGAATGTGCCTGAAGTACCCAGTTAGACATGTAAAAGACAGCGATTTCTACTTGCTTTTGCATCCTCAGCAAAACAATAAACATATCTCAACTGTCCCTACAGTTAAAAATATGGCATGGACAATGACTAGGCTGATGGGCTCTGAACTGGCTGTTGCTTCTCACAAAAGAACTCAGAGTTGTAGCAGACAGGTCAGTGCAGCCACCATTACTCAGCAGCAGGCAAAAAAGGAAACGGACTACAAGGAGTTACTGTAAAAAGACCAGATTAAAAACCAGAAAGCACCGTAATGCAACTGTATAAATCTATAATGCAGCTACATTTTGAATACTGTGTGCAATTCTGCTCTTTCATCTCAAAACAGCTTTAGTAGAATTAAAAAAGGGGAAAAGAGTAGCAAGGCTGACAAAGTTACGAAACAATGTCCATGCAAGGAGCAGCTACACAGATGAGAACTTCTCTAACCAGGAAAAAGAAGAGCAAGTGCAGGTAGCATAAACATCTATTAAGTCATGAGTGGCACAAAAAATGAACAGAGAAAGACTACTGAATGTTTTTCACAGTGCGAGAACTAAAGAGAACCAAATGAAACTGGCAGGTGGCTCAAAAACAAACAAAAGGAAGTATTTTTTCCACACAGTGTGGAGTTAAACTCTGGAACTAATTGCCACAGGATGTTGCAGATGACAAAGTTTACATGAGTTCAAAAAGCAATTAGAGAAATCCACAGGAGGAGAAAAAAATAATCCATGAATGGCTATTAATCACAAAGATATTACCCCAGGATTAGGAAATCTTGGAACCACAGGTTATTAGATGCTGAGAGAGCATCCCAGGCAAGTACTACTGTACGCTTAACCTGTTCTTACGCTGTTCCCTAAGCACCCACGCCTGCTCATCGCTAGGGCCAGGACACTGGGATACAATGACCATGGGCTTCTTTCAATACAAGTATTGTTACGGGCTGATTGCATTTTAGGACATTTTTAAAGTCACTTTTTCCAAATCAGCTATTCATCTTCTGCATTTCCCCGTTTTGTACCTTATGAACCTTTCTTCCAGAAGATCTCTAGTCCTAGGGCTTATTTCCATAAACTTAGTAATTGTTCACTCGTACAAGTATCATGATGATGCTTATCAGGAGGAGTACATTACATTTAATGATTTTTTTTTTTTTGAAGAAAAAGTAACCTTTAGTACCTTATAAAATACAGTTTGTTAGAAACCATTCAAAAGATCTGTTTACACTCTTTAAAATAGCTAGAATAAAACCTGAGAAATAAACACTGGGAAGCAGCAAGACTCAGGGCCTAACGGTCATGAAGGAACATTCATATATAGGGTTAAAAATGTCATTCAAGGCTACAGAACACAGATAACAAAACCTGCTCAAATAAGTTTTAAGACTTATATGAGGTCTCATTACGAGACTGGGTCACCCACGGTACAAACAGTTTGACATTAACTAGTATCCTGAGCAAACAATAGAACATTTCCCAGTGCTTCAGCATTAAAAGGCTGATGTGACAGAAGTGAGACAGTGTTGATGTATCACCAGCAACCAGAGGAAGCATCCCAATCTCAGGAATATAAATAATTTAGATTCGCAAGTACAGTTTCCAATCAGGAAGCACATCCCAGACTCATTTAAAAATTTAGAGTGGAAATTAAAAGACCATTTGTAACTATCAGAGGAATGTCATCTTCAAACATGTTTTCAGTATGAATAGTGAGCCCCAACAAGTTAACTGATTTAAAGATGGAGTTCAAGATATGTGAATGAGCTGGGTTATATAAACACAGCTGCCTGGAACAGAGAGAGACTGGACTTCATGATTCAAGAGATCCCTTCTATTCCATTCCTAATTAAAATATAAATACTTTATGAATGTGTGTTGTGGGAGTCAGGATTTTCTTTCCTTAAGCTGAGTCCTGATTATCACTAGATGCTGTACGAAGGAAGTTACTTGTATAGCCACCTGAGAGTTCAATGCTCTGTGCTATCAAAGTCTGTCTCAGGAGTATTAAAAAAAACTGCACCACAGAAAAGCACTCTATTCACCAAGGCAAAGAAATCCCTTTTTCCTGTCATTTGCCCATAAAAATTATAACGATTTAGCAATAAAAGCATGCAGAAAGTAGAGAGAACATTGCTGATTTGATTACAGAGCTAAGCAATGGTAGTTTTAAGATCTTCCCATAGGTACAATAAAACAGGACACATCATCATACATCGTTTCATACTGAATAACAGTTATTTCCTTAGAAAAATGTGTGTGGGATCTGTGACCTCCTGAATCTAAAGAAATACAGTGCAGTGACAGTGTTTTAGCTACATAGTAATTTATGAAATGCACGCTACAAACTTGAAGCATATATACTAATACACAGATACACAGGATTATAAACACAGAGCCAGGCTGTTCTTACACGTCTGTTTTTAGTTTATAAAATAACGACCCCAGCTGTTACTGCTTTGAAATAGGAGGTTATTCCTGACACTGGAGAGAAGCAAAATTGACAATGCAAAAATTCCAAGCCAATTTCAGTGCAAAATAAAGACATATTAACTTAAACTTCATGTATTTTCTAGTGCTCCTCTACTTTGTTTTGAGACACTGAATATTTAAAGAAAAATCAGAATCACCAAGTTGCACACTCTGCCAGTATTTGCTCAAGAAAAAAATTAACATCCAGCACCAAAGCAAGAAAGCAAGCAGCACTGGTCACTATTAGAAGGAGATAACTTCCTCATTGAATACCTGTGTCCCACTATGCAGGTTACCACTCGTTTTACCTCAACATATGTACAGAGAGAGGAAAAAGCCTTTTGTAAAACACATTCCACCCACTCTAAAAGAATGGCTACATGAAGGCTGATACAGGGTCTCAAAAGCAACACAGGATGTTTGGAGAGAATTATGAACCTATAATAAAAATTATATCGTCACACCAGCTGTTTCAGAGACCAGTCAAAAAAAACCCAGACAATTTGCCCTAGATTCCCTGAAAGACCCACTCACAATTCCAAAATATTATAGCAACATTTTCTGAAGGACAATGAATACCGTAACTGACTGGGATTTTAATAACAATACTGCCAATAATAAGATAACACTTCCAGTGTAACCAAACCAGCACTATCAAAAATAAATCCTTAGATTTTGAGTTTATTGTAAGCAAATAATTTGTTTTATATGACATTTTGGATGTAAAAAAGGAAGACATAATTCATACTTAGGAAACTAACAGTAATTGAAGGCTTCTCTGCCCCACTGAACCCTGGATATCAGACCACTGCTAATAGAAGAAGAAACACTGACCACAGCATTCATTTATTCTGAATTAAATATCTGAAGTAATATTTTAAGAGAAGATTACTTGCTACATCGAATGCAAAATAAAGGTATGAGAGGAAAAGTCACCTGTGATCTCAAGATGGAGATATTTATATATTGATGTTCATTTATCACAAGTTTTTTTTCTTTTCCCTTTTGTACAACATTGTTTTTTCCCCTACCAGTTCAGGTGTACAGCTGGGATTTAAGTGGAAAACTCACAGAATAATAGCCGAATGAGCCAAAAAACCAACAATATATGTGCACGAGCAAGCCCCATCAGCTGAAAGTCAGTCTAAACCTTATTGGATGTTCAGGTAGACAACAGGAGTATCACCTCAGCCTGGACTGTCCCCTTAAAAACGTTCACTGTTTAAAATCTTGCTATATTAACCACAAAACCCCTTAACATCTTTAGTGACTCAAAGCATTAAACTACCCTAATCCTTCTGGAAGGTTAATTCTGCTAGATTTTCTTCCTTGTTAAATCTCTTAATATAAATGGTTATTTCAGCTTAATAAGCACATCACATCAGATCTTCATGTCTGACAGGTTTTGTTTCTGCATAAATGGCCTGAAACAAGCTGGCCAGTAAGTTAGGGGCATTTCTAGCTAATCTGTATTAAAAGTCAGTATTATCTGTGGGAAGACTCTGTATTTCACCCAATAATTTAAAAAAATGGGATCAAAACCTCATTACATAATCAAGACTGAATCACCCACAGACAGGTCTGAGGTGTGGATTAACCATGTTGTACTAGAAAAATAACTTCCCTTTACTCTAAATTACTTAGTAAAATATTATGCTGTTTTAAGTACATTTTTCAATATACTGATGCAATATATTTATGTCAGTAAATTTACATATAGTGTAAATTATGTTATTTTATCACACTATACTACCCACGTCCACCTTTGAACCGCTAAGATCTGACTGTATTTAAGAAAAATTCCATTTGTGATATTAATTAAATGCTAGCACATGAACAACCCATATCACATTGAATGTTTTCAAGGTCAGTGGTCAGAGTTTGGTTCATTTCAAGCTAGTTCTAAACCACTACAGAGCAGGTACTTACTGAGATCCTCTGCGAGCTGGACCCTCTTGCCAGTTAGGAGCTTCACCTTTTTTTCATTGTCCTCAGCAAAATCTTCAAGCACTTCCTTTACATTCTTCTCCAAGCGCCTTACTGCAAAAAAACCCAAAACAACAAACTAATCAAGCAAAAAGTTAGTGGCAACAATTTTGCACCTGTAATGGCTTAAGATTTTGGGAAGGTCTGTGGGAGATGTAGTATGTTACAAGACTAACTGTTGGAGAAAAGACAACCTCTGAACACATAAGCCCCTTGTTTGGGCCGTTAAGACAGGAAAGTCTTTGAGAAAGATGTTTCCATTTCAAAGAATATTTTCTTTCGGAATTAAATTATTATTGGATGACTTTTTTTATCTCCTCCTAAGATACCTGTAGACTGCTTTGCTGTCTATTAAATTCAGCAGTTTCTCCTTTGAGACTGAGCGTCCAACAAATCTTTTATTGTAAGTGTGCTGCCTCCTTCTTAACAGTTACACTTTCACTATCAACATCATTCTCATCAGATGAATCAAGGCCAAGTCAATTAAATGTGAAAGACAGAAAAAGAAATTAACGATGACAGCAGAGTATGGTATTGAAGGATTGATGACACACAGAGGGTGCTGCTGTGTATACAAGGCTAAGATGAATCAAAAGCTCTTTAAAGCAGTATTATATCCATCTTAACAATCGTATCCTTGCCCTTCATACTTAGAGGGAATACCTCCTAATGAAACTCCCTAATTTTCAGCCCAGCAGTTGTCAATGAGGCAGGTGGTTTGAAGAGACAGGACCTAGCTTTCTACATTTAGGGGCAATTTCTTCATCATGGAGTGTAACTTGCATCACATGACAAGGTTCAAACCTTTCATTTCATGAAGCAGGTTGAAAACTATTTTACAGATCAAAGATCGTTATTAGTAGTTGTACCATGGCACTAGCAGATTGCTACATAAATGATGCTTTATGAGGAAGTTGCTCTTGTTAAGCTTGTCTAGATATTAACATGGTACATTTTGCACGGCTTTAACAAAATGCATTACTTAATTTTTTATATCTTTTATATTTTTTTATATTTTTTAACACTTTTAAACTAAAATCTGCAGCCAGACAGACCTGAGAAAAAAGAATATAGTCATTATTTACTGAAATTTTTTCTGCTTGGAAAAAGATATTGATAATTAGCATCACATAAGCTGAAAATATTTTAAACTGGAGAATGTCTTAATTATTTGACATTCTATTTACACTACATCATTTAATGTAAATAGAATGTCAAATTCTATTTACTCTACATCTTTTAATTACCTAACCAGGACACAAAAAAATCAGCCAGCCATGCTAAGCATGAAAGGAAAACATACTTAGACAAACACTAGAAAATTTCTAAATGATTTTTTGTTTCAAACACCTCAACTCACTACAAGCCTTACCTTCAGTGTTAGTAAGCTGCTGTCTCAGTGTATTTGCTGTAATTGCCAGCATTCGTTGTATTCGCCAGAAGAGGACAATATCATTACATTCGAGCTGCAACAAGGGAAGTCATAGTGTCAGACCTCTGATGTCCAGTGAACACCCTACGCTTACAAGAATCTCTCGACACTTTTAGCAGCAACTGATGTATTCATATCCTGATCTTGCATAAAACCCCCACAGAATAACTGCTGTAAGTAACAAGGAAACACACCAAAAACACTTCAAGAACTGTGTTGTCCCTATTTAATACACTGCATCCCCTTTACATCTACTACTTTCAACAGCAAGAGTTGTATCAAGGGATATCATGGAAAAACAATTTGCACACACTACATGCAGGCTGGTGAGTATAAGCCAATGCTCACTGAAACAGCACACTTTTATTTCCATGTGTTTGCTATGAACAACAGCTGAACTCCATATTGTGACTCTCTGTCTGACAAATGCTTCTGAAGACAGTGTTGGGCCACGGCCTATATTTGTTAAAAACAGAAGAGACAGTTTCTACACCTGCAAGGATGGCAGGAAGGAGCACTCACTCCATTAGGACACCTTAAAAAGACCGGAATAGGAGGTTAAGTGTCCACTCTGTGATCTCATTCTCTCTTATCTCTTACAGGCAAAAGTATTTCTGCAGCAGTAAAGATTTCTAGCTCCATGGGGATCATTTTTTCTCATTAAAAAGAAAAACAAAACTCCACAGAAAGTGAGGACCTCTACCTTTCCTGTAATTTCTTTTTTATTTAAAATATAACGGTAAGAAAACTGCTTTCTTTTCTTTGCGCGACTTTATGCGTACTGTCATTTGTTAGAAGCTTGGGTTTACAAAAATGGAAAGTCATTTAAGAGATCTGTTTGTGAGCTCACGGTTGTTTCTGGGTTTTTTTTTGGTGGGTTTTTTTTTGTTGTTTTTCTTTTTTGTTTTGTTTTGGTTTTGTTCCGCCCCCCCTGTTGATCACATGTGGTTCCATGCATCAACTCTAAACATTTATCATACTTATCCCATAAAAACCCCTTACTTAATGTTTTCTGAATTTTTTTGTATCAGTGAGGTAAATAAGTATCAACGGGAAAATGGGAGAAATGGGTACCAACAAGATATCAATAGCTGTACAATACTGCTTTTAACAGTGTATTTTCAATATACATTTATAGTAACAAATGTTTAGGTCATGGCTGATACCTAGTGGTCATTTTATATAACTACCACCAGGATGCCATTTTATCAATTACAAGCCTTATGTAAAACGTAGCAAAGATCACCAGCTATCTCAAGGTAAAGGATATAAAAGAAAGGTTAGGTTAAGGTATTTGTAAAAATTTTTTTTCTCCCCAACTGAGATGGAAATGTTATGACAAAACACCAGTGTGTATCTGTTCTTCAATTTACCTCCGAGTCCTCAAAATGCCTCTGATAATAATAGAAGCCTCTTCGACACAGATTACAGTGGTTCAAAGCAGTCTTCAGGAAATATCTTCTATAAATTTGATGCCATGTGTCTTTAATCTGGGAAAACAGTACTTAAATTTGACTAAATACATATACTCACTGTCATGCATAGTTTAACAATCCTATTTAATTTTAAAATGTAACTCCGAATTCCACTATCACTGTCATGTAATATATGTTTAAATATTTCTCATCAATTTGTCTGCAGCTGGGATGTGATTAATGTTAGTTACATTTGGCAAACATTACAGATGATTGTTAATTTAAAAATCTACTCTTCTATGATTGTAACATATCTTAAAAATATTGTCTGCAGCTAAAATACATTTAACTTATATACTACGGAATAGGAAAAATTGTTCTGCTCTTGGCATGATGCAGTCTTCACATCATCACTGATAAATTAAAACATTCAAAAATGTGTTATCAATTAAACCAGATTAAAGCACAGAAATATTTAATGGATCTTATATAAACAAACTTAGTTTAGACTTATTTATATTCAAGTTCTTCAAAATTAAATATGTATGTAGATATGGCTCTTAAAAAAAACAAACACCATAAAATTAAGAAAATCAGTTGCTTAGCTAGAAAAGAAACTCAATTTGCACTTGGTCTCCTCATGTAGAGGACATAGATGTAATGTAATGTTATATAAACTCTGACGTTTACAAAAAGGTATGATAAGTACTGTATAGGAAAGGGGCAGCAGGTAGTTAAGTAACACTTCTACCTTGATTAAGTACATGTATTAATATTGAAAAGGTAGCCAAAGTTACTGCAGAAAATAGATCACTGCTAAAGGAAATCTACATCTATTACTCACTAATGTTTGAATTACCATTCATTTAAAATCTTACATTTAATCAGATAAAAGGTCTAATTATGGTTAAGAGCCTTACACTGCAATAAGATAAATAATTCTCCAGAACATTTTAAATGTACAATACATTCCCTCAGGGCACTCTAAAAACCCCTGCCTTTTTCCAAATATTTTTACAAAATTTCCCTCTCTTCAATGTGCCTATGAACTTCAAACTGCACATACAATCACACCAAAAGCTTAGGTATACGATAAAAACATATTGTGTATCTTGCTCACAAAGGCCTTGATTCTACTATATAATATTTGAACAGTAATTTTAAAGAAGCCTTGTCATAATGCAGGCAAGAAAGTCTGCTCAGCAGGTTCTGATTTCAGTCTAAACTGACAGATTCCAAAGCGTTGTACTGCATTTGTCTGACAGCCAACAGAAGTGTGTGAATTGCATGCAAGCAGTCATTTAGTAATTAATTTGGAAACATCTGGATTACAATTTCAGTATTTAGATTGAGTCTTTTGTATGCTATCTAGAAAGAACATTCAAATGTTCACAGGGGGCTTCCATATGTTTTGTTAGAGTCCTGCATCTCACCAGACATGGGTCCACTGTTACTCCTCTTGCCTCAAGATTCTTTCTGACAGTTGTCACTTCATCATTTGCCAGATAAGCTGCATGTTCTTCATTGCATTTGATTAATTTCTCAAGTTCATTTTTTGTTTCATTGCGAATATTCTAGGATATGAATGATTAGTTAGAATTAATTATTATAGACAGAGATTATCAGGACCTCTTCAATAAACAGTCTATCTGCTTAAGATGCCAGAACAGAAAATACCTTTGACACTATCAGCTGTTACATTTAAGTGACTCAAAAGGGGATTTGTGCAAAGACATCTCAAACATTATTTTTAAATGGATAATTCACTGTCAATTTTTCATATTTTTTCTTTTCATTATGCACAGAAATGCACAAGAGGAAGAGAAGGGGGGGGAAAATAGGTGCTAGTGTCCTTTCCACTCTATGAACATCCACTAGTGGGGTTCACATTCACATATCACCTGTGACACCGATGAAAACTGTAATTTTTTCCTAACAGCTAGCAAGAACTCTCCATGGATTCAAACCTTTAAGTTGCAGTTCATTAAATTCAAGTAAGATAGGTTGAAATCACCACCTTTCTCCCATACCTGGCTGCACACAGCTGACTGTAAAACTCCTTCCTCTGAAAAAATTACTTTCTACTATATTCTTTTAAACTCTACTTACTTCTTTAAAGTACGATTCAGTCTGAGAAATATCTAGAAAAAGTAACATAAAAAGCCCATCATCTCTGGGCATTGAACAGAAGGTGCTATTTAAATTCAAAAGAAATTTCCAAAAGCTATGAGCAAATGAGAAGAGATGTTATGATGAAAATGGTCAATCAGAAGATAAAGCTGTGACTAGAATGCTAGTGATAATGCTATCACATACTAATTAAATCAAAATGGAGCATGATAGGAAGCTACATGCGACTTCTGCTTAAAATGCACGCTTGGAAAGTATAGAAGGGAATAGCCCGGTTTCCACTCTGTTTTCATCAATTTCTTTCTACTAGAGGAACTTTAATATTCAGGTCAATGGCATAATAGTAAGATGTAATTCAGCTGAACAATGGAAAACAGCTTACAAACCACTATGTACCCGGAACATGAAAAAGTATATGGAATTCTCTGTGATGTAATATTAAACACACTAAATAGTAAAAGTAATTGTAAAGTATTTAAAAGTAATTTTTTTTTGCACTCATCTAAAGAGTGTGAAAAGAGTTGGTATTTTTTTTAAAATTTACTGAGTAACAATCAAAGTTTTCTAAAGGTAGTGAACTACAAATTCTCTCCGCTCCCTTACCTGTTCTTTGGTGCGGCCTATCCAGTATAACCACCTTTTTTTCCAGTCTGGACCCACCATATCTTCAATAACAGATTCAGCTAAAAAAGGAAACATGATGTTAAGTGTCACTCAAAACCTATGTAACCAGCCAAATTTATAGTTCTAAAAATATGTACAAGATCAAGAATGGACATTTTATGCCTAAGAACACAAGATTTCGCATACTGAGTCAAGTCAGATGTCTTTTACTTAAAGGAACAGTTGATGTCTTTTAGTAAAATTTAAAAAAGACTGTCAACTGCTAGATACTTCAAATAAGTATGTAAAAACGATAGCATCCCTTCACTGAGACTGCCCTCTAGGTTCCAAGTCAGGCATTTAAAAATTGTACCGTGTTGGAACTCACATCAAGATTAATCATGCTTGATAACCATGAATAGACCAACTACTTTCTTTGAATTTATCCTATTCTTCTACCTGTGTGCCTGTACCATTTTTTGACTCTACAGATCTCTATTACTTATCTTTCAGTTGCCTCATTGCGAGAGCAAGAGCCCTAGCTTTTGAGGCTGTATTTGCTATCAGTTTCTATCAGTATTGATACCATCTTAAACTGTCACTGCTGTCTCAGTTGTGCTGATAGAAAAGCTTGCACTGCAGTGATGTGAACTAGATCTGGATAATTGGCCCAGATTGAAAAGCACCCAAGAGTGGAATATGTCACACAACTCACTGTCTTTGAGGCGACTTTGGAGCGTCTCTTCCATAAAATGAATGGCTGCATCCCACTGCTGTTTATCAGATATTGACCGATCTTCTAAGGCATTGTGCTGGATCACTCGCTGCAATACAGAACACTGTTTTAGCATAAAAGAAATAATTTATTCAGGGTTTAGTAAAAAAAAGATTTCTGACATTGTCTTCACTTTTTGATGTCTATAAAACCAGCGTTTATTTGCCACACGGTATTTATTCGAGAGATACCTTTTCAAAAATATTTTCTTGTGCCTTTTATTTGACTCTCTTCTATAGTCTGGCATAAATAATGTAAAATATACAGCAAACAATATGAAATCCCTCCAGATCACAGAATCTATAAAGATGGTAATGAAATACTGTTATTTTATGTGGCTATACTTCACAGGACAAATGAGTTGATGCTAAACAATTCTCACAGGGCTGTCCTTGGGCAGCCAGTAGATTATGGATGACTTTCTCCTGAACCAACCAAAACAATTTTATTAGATGTTATTTAGGGGAATCATTAACAAAAGGTAATAATAAATCAACTGAGAAAAACTGAATTAAAACATTATACAGAAGAGGGGAGATGGACACATCTCCCTAATGTTTTATGATTACATTAAAAGAATGCAAAAATATTGAATATGCAACTTCAGTAAAAAGATTTCAACAGCACTTAGTCAACAATGCAAAAAAAAAAAACCCACTACATTGTACCAGGCTATCCTCCGCTCTCTCATTCCATTTGTGTCGTTTTATACTTTCTTCTTTGACAGCTTGTTTCAGTTTATCAAAGATATCATCATGCTCTTTGCCTTTTTGTTCTGTCATGAAACGGGAAAATTCTTCTTGCAAAGTCTCCCATGCCACCTAGAAAGTTCGCAAAAAAATACCTACTGAAACGGCCCATTATACCATGCACCAGCTGATAAAGGAACATTTATGACAATTCTTGCAAGTATGAAAATTTTCATACTTTCTGAAAACGTACAAGCATAACAGTAAGTAACTGACTTTTCCTTTGCTGCGTTATCCATTACTAATAAAGTCAACATAAACCTTGCTTCACTATGTTGTAGCAAGTGGAATTCTGTTAAATTTGCATAGATCTATTAAATATGAATATACCTAGCTTAAAGGGTTTGTTTAACCTTTTAGAAGGAGGGGTTTTTTGGTCTTTAACAGGGAAACTTCACCAGAAGAGCAAAATACAGTGTTCTTGCTGTATATGCTTCTCAACATCAACATCTTGCTAGTCTTTTCTGACATGTATGCTGGTTAGAACAACTGCAGTCAGACCTTCAAACCATCATCTTAATTCTCTAGAGATATGCTTTCATTTCAACAGGCTTTGCACAGACTTTTTTTTTTAATTATATTTTTAAAAAATATCTAACTACTCACCTCTACTGCTTTATTAGGCAGTTGCTTGTCAGTCCACTGCTTCAGTTTGATGTCCACAGTGGTGTTAAATGTCCCCGAGTTCATAGTCTGTGCTGCTGGAAGGTAGATATTTTCAATCACATGAGTAGATACCCTCTCCCATAAAGTTTTCTGAAGAATCTCCTCCCTAAAATAGAAAGTTGTAACACATATGACGACTTCTGATACAAAAGCGTCTAAGAAGTATACATTCTATTTGTTAGAAACACTGAGAAAACAAGACTCAAGAAGACAGGAAATACTCCGTAACACCAGGACACAACTTCAACCAAAATTCACTTGGAACTGAAGACACAAATACACAATGTTTTCAGCAGCAAAGACAGCTTCAGAAGTTGGCCTCTATGACTCTTATGGCTGCCACTGCAGTGCACAACAGTTCCCTGCAGCCTTTAATTATACCAATATAACCATGCAGAGCTGTGTGTGCATATGCATGGCAGGTGGGAGAATGACAAGGGTGCAGACTGTAAAGCATTAAATAATTTGACTAAAAAGTCCACACTTGCAAAAAAGCATGTGGCTTTTGTTTCTATAGTATTCTGATTTGTTTGTTGGAGCACACTGTAGTTTTCCATCTGGGATTTTCACTGATTGTTTCCAGATTTGACAAACAATGAAGCAAGTTGAGAAGTCCAACTTTTTACCAAAATGTATATTGACATTCATTTATAAACATGCCTCACGTCACTATAAAACTAAGCACCACTTTCCTATTTCCTTTTCAAATGGAAACAATCTAACTTTAACCTTTTAAAATGACAATAAACTTACTCAGAAAACTTTGCAGCTGCAGTGAGACAACTCATCTGAGCCAATGTAACACACAGCCAGTACCCACAGAGGCAGTCATGCTGCTTCTGCTCCTGCCAGAATCTCCAGTACAAGTTCTGTGTTTCTTGCAGGTTTATTTTATGCTAGCTCAGCATGCTAAATCAGCTTACCAACAGGGCATATGAATACCAGATTTGGTAGAATGGTGAGAGCTAAGAGCCAAAGAATAAAAACTGCCTTTTTTTGGTGGTACAAGACTTAACAGATTCACTCAAGTGCTTTTCTTCCAAATGGGCTGAAGCTCAGGACACAAGCCTCATCCCTGATAATGCCCCTTCTCCAACTAGGACATTTGTAGAAAAAGACTGAAGAACTTCTCATAAATACCACTGATCCATGCATTTTAACAATAGCATAATTGAAAATTTCTCTTTTGTGTTTAAAAAAACCTTCTTTGAGATTGAAAAATTTTGAAGCTGTCCCTCTGACAAACCAGTATAAGTGGGGATCAAAGCCACTAGTTTTTCTACTTTTGGAACAGATCTTTGTCATATTTAGGATAGTAAAAGTATTTATACAAAACTAAAAGGAACTCAAGCATTCAAAAGATGTTGAAAGAATTCACTATAAATAAAAATTAATATTGCCGCCAGTAAAAAACATTTTCCTTAAAAAGCTTTGTTCAAAATAGGATGATTTGGATAGCGTTCAAACAAAGACTAATTATTGATCATTCTGAATCACCCTTAAAAGAACTGGGGATGTGGCAAATTAATTTCACTTAAGGGTAAGTTGGAAACCATCTGTTACGGATTTTAACACTTACAAATGCACTGTAGAGGGGCAGACCTCTGATCGAGAACAAATGCAGTCTCATTCCTTCTTTACTGACATGTTAATGAAAAGACACTTTTTCTTTGCTTAATTCAGTCAAACTTAATTGGAAGGAATGGAAATTTTACCAGGATAGAACATTTGCATTCATCAAATGCACTGCTGTTTTTAGGTTGCATATAATGGCTAACAGAAGCATTTTTTCATGACTTAGGTTTCCAGTTCTATTTCATAGCTCACCAAGTGTTATAAAACTAGAATCACCACTACATTTTAACTTTCAAAAGAAACGCACAGAAACATTCATGTTATGCACCCATCCAATCCACAACATAAAATGAAGCAGACTAGACATGGGTCAGGGTACTTTAGCATCTATTACACGGCAAACAGCAGCAAACACCAAAATAGTAAACCTGCATTACATTTGGACTAGAACATAACTTCAGACTAATACACTGCCTACAACACTCTCTCTGAACACATCCACATGCCCAGAATTATTCTAATGTCATTAAGAGTCAGACATTTTATCTTCGTTTTTAATCTATGACCAAGTAACAGTTCAATTCAGGTCACTAAAGGCAAAGGCATTAAAGAAATCTTTTTTCGTGGTTTTCAGTTGTGGTACAGGCTGTCAAAGTAATCCTTTACATTGGCTATTCTTCTCTCAGACTGCATCTACAGTGGCTTTACTATGCAGTGATGCTACACTGTTAAAACCTTAGGTTAAGCCCTCTTTCTCACACCTGTGGGTGTGTAGAAGTATGGCAGCAGTATGGTCCTACTTGGTTGAAGCTACCAAGGAGATGCACATGTAGGATGAATTCTCAATCATCCAGATCAGCTTCCCGCCCCCGCCCCTCCCCGGAATTACGTAATCTTTAAACTTCCAAATCTCCGATTCACAGGTACACAAAATTTTTTTCCCAAGGTCATATATATTATTTTGACATGCACAATGATAATCCCCAAACATCAAGTTAAGAGGAATTACTGATTCACACTTTAAATGAGCATCCGAAAACATCTTTATTATTACTGTTCCTTTTCATTTTTGAGGAGTATCTATTGTTCATCATACTATATAAAACCAGAACAAAGCACAAACTGACATCATATAATTTTTGTCAAGGGATTATACAATTATTTGCTGATTCAGAATAATAAACAAACATAGACTACTTCCACGGGGTCAAAGGACATAATACTACTTTGTTCTAAGCAAAACAGTTCCTTATTTATATTTGAGAATTTCATTTACTAGAACTCTTTATACTTTAAAGGTAAACTTCTGCTAGTTAATGGACAAACATACAAATTAAAAAAAAAAAAAAGAAGAAAATTACTGTACCAGTGCTTTGGTGTGACCTGAGTCAAACTTATGACTTCATCAAGAATCTCATTCTTTGCTTTTTCAAACAGTTCATTCTATGCAGAAGGAAAAATATGAAATAATAAGATTTTAAGTATAGTTTGGTCATGTTTCCATACAAAGAGTAAAAAAAGCAAAACCTTTCTCTTACTGCCTTTATGGCTAAAATGATACCTTCTGGTCATGTTCTGGAAAATGTATGTGCTTGTCATAAGCTACCCTGGTTTACCATACATCTTCCCACCCATCTCTTGCACGCCTCTGGCCAGGCATGGCATTTGAATATTCAGGATCTCTATAAAAGAATTAGAGAATGGGATCATCATTGTTTTGTTACTCTCTCTGTCTGAAAGACCAGTTCTGTCATGACCACAAAGAAACACTGACCTATTCCTGTGGGCAAGTTAGGTCAGTTAACTGTATACTAGAAGAGAGGAGGACTTGTTAAGCGTTGAAGTATCATAATTTTGGAGCACACTATTTCATAAAACAGAGAGCTCAGTACTTCCTTCCCCTAGAATAATTTACACTGTCCTCACATTTTAAAGTGCCAGAACTTTATGTTGACTTTAAGAAATCTTTACAAATGAGATTAAATGGCATAAATTTTAATCCATAATCTTCAATGCTTTGTAGCACATAAATTAAAGCAGTAGTATAATTTACCCTGTCAAGCTCTCGCAACCGGGGGTAATTGTTCTTCCATTCGGTCTCAAGATTGAAACGTGTGGCTGTAAAAATCAGAAACAAGGCCTTAATTTTTTTGAATTGTCTATATGCACTTCATGACCAAGTTTAGCAGCTCCTAAAATTGTCACAAATCTTGCTTATGACAAACCCTCCAAGAAATTTAAGGGCCTCTGCAAATGAGCAACGTTTTTTTCTGTCTATGCTTTAGATATTATGTCTGCGAGTTGCAGGATTCATGCATTGAAAAAATGTAGTGGAAAGAGCCACTCAACCTCCAGCTCTGTACAAGTCAGTCCTGCCCTGGCTGATCAGATAGTATCTTCATATATGAAAGAGCCATTTTAAACAACATCTGAATCCAATGGAAGAACTGGGTTTTGCCCATAAAAACCCCTGAATTTCTTTCTTCACACTTATTTACTCCTTTGGCTTTTAGAGCAAATGGGTCCTTCATACCATGAATTATTTTTCATGTGTTTTTTGTAAAGATTAACTGGGGCAATTACCCATTCATGAGAAATGGTGATCACATAAAACTTATATAACAATTGCCCAAGCATGCTGGCAAAGCAGTACTACATATATGTGGAAGAACTAACTGTTTAACAGCAAGTTGCTATTTCACTTGGTTTTTGAAAAGACATTTACCTTTAAAAGCATCTGCTTGTTGCTCCACAGACTCTCTCACCATTTTCCAAAAGCAATCTGACACAGCAAGACTTAAGTTCTTTGTTGTTACCTGGTGTGCCTTCAGCATACATGTCCTATAAGGAAAGACAGCTAGAGGAAATTCTTTTATGCATACCCATGCTTCCTAGCCCCCTTTTTCTCCTCACAAGAACAAAGTTTTGCTTTTTATAGCAGAGCATAACACATGTACCTAACCCAAATTCCAGTCTCTTCCTCCAAAGTATTCAATGCAGATAATCACCAAAGCAAGGCGGGGGGAGAACCCACCCCAAACAGATTTTTATGCTAGAGGTTGCAGAGCAGGTACTGCAGTCCCAAAGACTATGCAGCTTTCTTTCCTGAGAAATACAAGCCTGTGAAATCACAGCTCTGCTCAATGAACTTCCAGCAGAACACACAAGCCATTTGTTTGAATACAACACTGTTGTCACACAGAGACAACTGATATTCAGAGGCACTACAACTCATATTTGGGCTGGATTCACTCCTCCCAGGTGTATAAAGTGCCTTGACATAGGCTGGGAACTTAGCTCTTCTAGGGCCTATGGAGAGATACAGAAATATCTGCAGAGAGGCTCAGAACTGCAGTGGAATCAACTGCTGCCTGAATATGCCTGTCTCCAGTGTCTTACAGCAAGCATTAGGAAACCAGGCTAACTTGGTCAGCTCAACAAGATTCTTAAATTTAAGCAGATTAAGTCTCAAATAATGGTTCCACACTGCAATCTTTTGTTCAGTTCAACAAGAAAAACTGATGCTAGCATTTACCGACACAGGCTCATTTTATGAAAAGGAATAAACAGCAACGTACTTTAATAGCTTTGAATTTTGAAAAAATTCCTCTTCATATTCTTTAATAGATTCAATGCTTTCACTGCTGTTTCCTGGAGAAAGAAGAGAGTGCTGCAACGGTTCCATTTAGACAGTTTTCTCTGCTATCAAGGAGAAAATAAGCAGAGCAAGAGCTCTTTTTACCTTTTCCAGTAACAACTGCAAAATAACCCAAAGCTTTCATCGGGAAGAGTTTCCCTTCAATTATTTGCTGGATCTATGAAAATAAAGGATTAAAAAAACATGGTTAACTTTGCACAGCAACATTCTTTCCTTCAGCGCAGTTTTAAAGCCAGATCTAGTTGTATCTATGCATAGACTACTATAAGCAGCAGTTTGTCATGGGACTATGAGTTCTACTGATATTTAAAAGAAAAAAGAAATATAAAGGCATAAAATAAGGCATAACATAGCAAAACACAAAATAAAGTGAAAAAGCCTATCCCAGAATATCCTAAAGCCTTCTTCAGAAATGGAATTTGCTCAAGTCCCCTGCATGAAAGGAATCAGTATTATAGCAAGCTGTAGCCAAGCTGTTTCTGAAGTCATGTAGCTGATCACTTGAAGCAAAGCCTGAGAGAGATTGTAACAACCACCACTGCAAAAAGTCATACTGAATAGAGAAATAAGCACTCAAAAAATCTAAAACAGGCAGGTGAGGTCCAATATTTCTGACAGCATCTCAAGTATTTTTCCTTGTGACTTTTGTCATCACAATATGAGAAAAATAGTTTCAACTCACTCTGCTTGGGCTAGTTACATTTTTCTCAGCAAGATCAACTTTAGTCAACACAAAAATTGTCCTTTTTCCTTGGGGATCCATTTGGCTGACTAGGTCTGTGACAATACTGCGTTCTGCATCCACCGACCCATCTAAAGTAAACAAAACCAAAGTTATACTTTAGGGACAATGCAATTTAACATGTAGTACTGAAGATATAGTAGGCACCAAATAAGTTTCATGTTGCAAATTAAAAAAATAGTAAAATTACACATATAGTCAATTTTTGGGTACACACAGTGAAAATTTACTTTGTTCCCAGTATCATAAAAAAATCAGTTTGTTCTAGCTGTGTAAGTTTTGAAGAACTACCTGCTTGCTCAAAATATTGAACTCTATTATTGTCTGTTGCCTCCAAAAACACTTTTGAAGAAATCTTGAATTTTATTTTAATGATAAAAAACTCTTATCAAAAGGTTGCTGTTTGTCATGGATACCAAAGGTGCCTTAATTTATAAGCAGACATTCCGCAGCATGCTGTTTTGCACATTATAGAAATCACCACAAATGAAAAAAAAAAAATGTAATCGGGAGAGTCCCCAGAGTCACATAAGAATCAGAATTAAAAAAAATGAGAAAATCCTGCCAGGTGGATAACAATCTAGACTCTTATTACCTTGAATACATAGGATGATAGCATTAGGATTCTGCATATAGGCCTTGCTGATGCTAAATATAGTTTCCTTCGTATCTGGAGCCATGCCTGATGTCACAGTCTTCAATACGTAGACGAGATATATATTAAAAGGAAAAAAGAAAACAGAAAGATGTAAGAAAGAAGAACAACAGCTAATGTTCTCGCCAGTAACCCTACTTCACTTACATGTCTTAAAGATTTTTTTTTTTTTAAATTATTTATTTATTGCATACTTACACTAATGACTCCAGGTAAATCAACCAATACCATTCTCTGCAAACCAGGACCTTTCACACTTAAGGAGATTGTCTGTGAAGTAAAATTGAAATTAAAGGTTTATGCACACCACTACTTTGTATGTGATTACATACATAAACACACATATGTATAAAATTAGATAAACATGTATCTACACACACATATGCTTTAAACCAGCAACAGCCTGCAATTTTAAATAGGAAGTCCAGTTTTATGTGCATGTAATTGTGATATAAAACTGATTTTAACAGTCCAAATATACTTTGTATAGTGCAAAATATTAAGTTACACAAACTGGATTCACCACAATCTCCTATTTAAAGGATACTTACAGAAGTTATACATGTACAGATATTTGCCCCTAAATATTTGACAAGTCTTACCTCAGTGCTAACAGTGCACCCTTCCTTCACGCTATTTCTCATTCTGATTTCTATTTCATTTCTCAAAGCTGCAAGCTGTTTTGAGAAAAGCAAAATATCAAACTCCTTATAATCATGGTAGAAGAAAAATCACCAACATAAGTAAAGAAGTTTACATATGGATTAACATCTCTATAAATACTAACTGTCTCAAATGCATGTTCAATAACTAAGTCTGGTAAATGGGAGTGCTAAATGACAGATTACCTGCAGACCCCAGCATACGCCAAAAAAATGTCTGGGCACAAGAGCTCCTCCTACATTTTACTCACTTCAGGGCTAGCCAAAAACCATAATAAGAGATAACTGAATAACTAATATAATGGCTTACCCCACTAAATGTATTTCACTCTAATTAAACAGGGGCTAATAGCCCACAAAGACACAAAATTTTCCAGAGAATTAATAAAAGTTACATTAACTTCCAGTCATTTCTTTATACTTACATCCTCCTCCTTGGTCAGATCAAACTCCCGAGAGCTGTCTTTGAATAAAGCCACATGGTGGGGACCTTCACTAAGAGTCACCTAAATGGTAAAGAGTATGGTAAATGCAACATGAGAAACATGAGAAGTACATAGTATATGTATACTTCCCATCACAGACATACAATTATATGTAAGGCTTATTTAGCACAGGACTACTTATAGCAGGAACTGCTACTACTCTGACAGTATATATGGATCATACGTAGGCCTGCAGAAGTTTTGTCATTGACTGCAACAACTCACTTGCTTAGATACCATTTTATAAACGAATGTCCACATATACTTCAATTAATGGCATAACCAGAGGGAGAACAATATAGCAAATGCTGATTCAGGGATCACGATGTTTCTTACCTTAACAGGGGAACGTGTCATCATCTCCCCAGACCCTCGAGGGAATATGCGGGCTTGGGCGATCATTTCTAACACACTGGTTTTTCCTGCACTTTGATCTCCAACCACCACCACCTTAAGTGAAAGTTTAAACAGCCATTGGCTTTTAGCAAGACATTTTAGAAGCCTAGACAAAAGCTAACGAGACGTTAAGCTGCATCAACGCTGGCTCTATTACGTTCGACAATAAATCCATTGGTTTAAATATGGAATCCTTGAATAAATGCCAACTTTCAGTTATGCAAAAAAATTAACTTGTGCTTAAGACAGCATAGTTCACAAAGCACCCTAAGGGCCTAACCTGCCAGGCCACCTAATGAAGAGAGGAAGGGCTTGCTGTTCTCGTGGCAGGCAGTTCCCTCCTTGTGCAAAATCCTTTCAGCAGGCAAAACACTGAAGACTACTCATCTGGTAGATGAAGGCTGAATTCTGATGTAGTTGCTGTCACTTCCCCATCTTACTGGCTTCCTATAGAAGCTACCAGGGCTACACGTGGTTGTGCAAGCAGGAAGCATTCCTGGTTCTCCCCTACACCAGCAATCAGCCTATCCAAACCCCTTCTCATGCTCCCTGCTCCGACAGCAGCACTACTGTAGGGAGTTGGCTGGGGCACCTTACCTTCTCAGCTCCGCTGGTACACACCAGGAGACAATAGTTGTTTTAACACTGCTGAGAAGGCTGGGCTGCCCTCACTGAAACCATTTAAAATGAAAGGCTGAGCACAGCAGCAGTGTCTGGATCTAGACAGGGTCAAGACAGACTTAACATAGTTACACTGGTTATTCTCAAAATTCTCTTGTTGCATTTAAAATGAAGAACATGCCTTAAGCAAAAACCCTGGAGTTACAAGCAAATAGCCTAGCACTAGCTCTGAATTATTCTGGAATGTAATTAAATGTTCTATTCAATTATAAGACTGTTATAAGGTGTTTCAGTAAAAATTCTTGAATTCTTTATCTACTTACTCGAGGTAGGTGATCTTGAGTGTTGTAACTGGCATCATAATCAGATAGGATGTCGAGTACTTCAGAATACATATCAATCAAGGATTTCTAACAAAAAAAAAAAGGAGAAAACAGCCAATGAACAGAACAAAGACTGTATTCCAGACTACTTCCTCTGTATATTACAGAATTACTCATCTGTAAAAATGTGTTTATTCTCTCCTGATGAAAAACCTGGTGAAACCTAAACTGACTATACTGCAGCACAGATCTGTTTTATGAAGTACAATAGCAAGTAAAGTCACCCCTTGCCTCTGTGGATGAAAATACTACAGCTGCAGATGCACCTTGCTGAAAGAGCAAAATGAGAGCTCTTACATACAGCTTAAGAGAACAACAGCATTCAGACTTCACAATTTTGAAGTTAAGAAGCTGAATTAAATTTCTTCCACTAAACATCTAGACTTACATTTTCAGCTTAATGAAAAGTAAGCATTGACAAAGGTATAAGGCTATCAACCTCATTCTGTAAAAATAAGAACTCCTTATCTTCCAATTCCCAGAGGAAAGAGGAAAATCCATAACTGGTCAGCACGTGACGCAGAGAGAGGCAGAAAACCTCTGTTCTTAGAACACTCAGGATGGTGGCAGACGAAAGCAAAAGCATGTTTAGTTCAGTCTCCGTGGATTTATACCAGGCTGTTAAAAGATGTTTTCTGGCCCCGTAACTATATTCCTACCAAACTCAGCAAGACCCATGACAAAGCACAGACCATGACAAAGTATCAAACTGTGTGTGTAAGAAGTGCTGGAAGCATATTTATTAGCAAATACAGTGAAGCTACATCAAAAAACCCAACCCACATTTTCCACTTACTTAGCTAAGTTATTTAGACCTACTAACACCTTTGGGCTCTTCAACTGAAGGCATTTTCAAAAGTTATATAGTTAAAGAGAGATGTAAAAAAGCCTTAACATGTCAAAAAATTAGTATAGATATAACAAATGTCAAAAGTTCATATATGGATTAACAAATACAATTTAGAATAACATCATAGAAAATATGGCATAATTACACTTCTATGCTGATTTGTAACACATAAGTACCTTTAATTTCCTCTGATGAATTCCTTTTTCATCTCTTTGCAGTACCAATTTTCTTAATTCTTTGTTCTCCTTCTCTAATCGCTCAAGCATTCTTTGGTATTTGAGCTACAAAACAGTGGTACAAATATACTGTTGAAATTATGGAAATAGTACACTCAGATGAGCATTTTAGCTATGAAAAAATATATTATCCTTCAGGAAAGTCTTTCAAAAACATAGAAACCTTTGCAATCACTAGTTTACTAAAATACAAGGCCATCAAGAGAAGACTGTTAGAATTTTTTTTCAGCAACAAATCTTTGCTTCAAAAATTTTCATGTGACCACAATGTTCAAACTTGGGAATACGTAAATCAATCTTTCGGAATCTTAAGCATCATTTTCAAAGGAGCTACACATATGCAGTTAGACAGAAATTAGTGGGAACTGGCTGTTCAATCAAAAAGATCACAGGGCTTAAATGTGAATTTGCAAGCCTAGTTTAGACCCTTTCTTCAGTATACAACCTCAGTTCAAGAAACACCTGTACCAGCTCAGTCCTGTTTAGAAGGAGATTATGATAGTCCTCTGAAGAGGAGACATGAGTATAGTTTTGATACCTACTCTGAAAACTATTTTCTAGGCCATGGAAATATATTTGGCCTGAGTGTACTTTTAAGAACAAATCAAATTTCACGATGTTATAAATAAAGGTAAGTAATAAATGCTTTCAAAACTCGCAAAGTTGTTTTTTTTGTTTTTTTTTTTTTTTAAAGTTTTAACATATATAAAGATGTTACAACCCCCCATATCAAAATAATTTTTCTGAGCCAAAGAGCTGATCAACTTAGAAACCTATAGATACAACAAAAAATTGTACATTAACTTAAGAAAAGTAAGCAAGCAAACCAAGCAATGACTAATATGACTAATAGGCACCAACCCTGTAAAAAATTCTATCTTAAAAATAACTAGCTCTGCCTTGCTAATTAAGGAGATTAAAACTTTATTGGAATGAGATTTGGTGAAGTTTCCAAGTCAATTAATGAGACAGGAAGGAGTCTCACCTTACACCACATTTGCCCTGAAAAGCCCCGTTAAGGTAGAATATATGAAACCTTTACAACAAACTTATAAGTCAACACACATAGAAGGAAAAAGTGCTGCTGTCTAAACAAGAACAGTCATACAGCTGAAGAATCACAGTTCCTGCTCTGTAAGGACTGCCTAAGGGATGAAATACTTCTTTGTAAACCAGATCTGCAGCTTCACACTGTATTTTGCAACATTATGAAAGCTACCCCCCAGAAGGGATGGAAATGCTCCTCAGTTGAGCTCACGCAGGGAATTCTTAAATTAGCTATTGAATGGAAGACCAGATTTCAGAGAACATGAGAATGGTTTTATTTTTGTGACTTTGTTCTTAAATAATGAATGCTCCTATATGCTTGCATCTTTGACAGAAATTATTAGACTTATTACTATTTTAACCTTGTCAGGTTGTAAGTTTATATATGGGGAATAAAGTAACATGTATGCATTCACTATATACAGAAATTCATATTTAAGAAAGAGCTTTCCAAATGTCTGTTATTGAACTCCTAGGTCCTCTGAAGTTAGGTCACTTTTAAAGAGGCCAGTTCGAAAACCAGTGATCCTAAAGCTGATCTCTGCAGATCTCTTCCTTTTCTGCGAGCTAATGAATCAGGCTTCTCTTTAATGGAAGTAACATAGGAAATACAGAAAACAGGTTTTCACTTGCAAAGGCACATCTTCTCTAAGACCATATTAAATTGCAACTGAGCTAGAAGGAAGACATTCAGAAACTGGAAGTGGCTTGGGCTTTGAAGAAAAGTTTTTTAGAAATGTATATTAAGAAGTCCTACCAATAGCTGCCATTATTGTTCAAATTTTCACTTTTTTTTTTTTAAGGACATCACTCCGAACAGCACCATCCTCTTCAGTTTCTTAAAGAGGGCAGAGAAAAAGCTTTTAATCTGCTCATAGCAATTTTTATACCAAACAGTCCAATCATAGAAACAGCTTTAATTGAAAGTACTGCTTATAGCTTCACAGAACAGATTTTGATGAACACTGCATGGCTTATACACAACTCTAGCATTGTAACTGCAATTATTTTTCCTGACAGAAGAAACAAAAAAGATACTTTGGTTCTCCTGAATGCCACTGTACTATATAATCTGAATGTCTCACCCCACATATCGCATGTGATGTCTGTTTTTCCTCTTGGACCGCTGCTATTTGGTCAAATGCACTTAAAAGCTTCTTTTCTTTACTAGAAATGACATTTCCTAGATTAAGGGATTAAAATGTAACTCCTTAATAAACAAACTAATTTCCTTTCTGCAACAAATGTGCCATTTAAACATACAAGACATCACAAATACATTTACTAGCACCGAAATAATAAAAGAGAACTATAGAATGTCAGGAGTAAAGTTAGCATGCATAACAAGTAAAAACTGGAAGATCACCATAGTATTTAGGTAACATTCTTGGGATAACTTTATATTTCAGGAACATAGAGCATTGAAGGGAAGGAATTTATTTTGGGAAAGTATGATTACACATTTGCCTTACTCTGACACTCCCCTCTTCCATTCTGTCAGTCACTGTCAGAGAAATAACAGACTAGACTGACCTTTGGTCTCTGCCAACACAGTCAACTCTGTGTTGATAAACTCAAATGTTGAAAAAAAGCACTGCATTTTCCCCAAATATCTTATATTTTAGGTGTGCTTTTGTCTAGTAAATCCAACTTTGCTGCACATAAATCTCTACTTAAGACATCAGTAACTCGGAAAAGTTACCTGAGTGCGCAAAAGTTCTTCTTGAAGTTGATCAATCTTCTCTTTGTCAGAAACCTACAAAGAAAAATAATCATGTCCACTAACACGTTGTTTAGTTTATCCACTGCAAGTAACCAAATCACAAACGGAAAGCTTCATTCCACACAAGAACATTGACTTTACATGCATTTTAAAACAAGTAAAATTCTTCAATTAGCATTTGAGATTTAACGTTGATGGGAAGTTCCATCTGCAACAGGAGAGTCACATAAAAAAAAGGTCTAAATTCCAATACATGCAAATGCAAAAATTAACCCTTCATGACTTCATACTAGGAAAGTGGGCTTAGGGAAAAGCCAAACTCTATATGGTGCTCAGAGTTTTCTGGCCATTGCCCTAAATGTAATTTTAGTGCTCAATCTCTCAGGATCTTGTACATTCATTTCCTGAATTAGTATGAACTTAATGGGATACAATCACTAAAACATCTGCTTGCTACAGAAAATATTTTCAGGTGAGTTCAAGGGGATTCTTATTTCATATTTGTTTTTCAGAATTATAAGCCTAGATATCCATGCACAACTTCATAAACCCTAAGTTAGTCAGGACAGTCCTGAAGGGTTATTTTAGAATTATTTAAATTACATTGAAAACTAGAAAAATTAGGATATTATCATACAAAACATTTTGAAATTCAAGGCAAAAATGTAGTAAGATCAGGCAATTAGAGCCATTCTTTGTCAAATATTCTCTAAAATAGGTTAATTAAGATGTAATAAACGGTTGTTCAAAAGAATCCCTTTTTAATAACAAAAGGAAGACAAAAGCATAAATAGTGCAATACAAATTCATACGATGTAAATATTTACAAACAGCAAAATCTAATAGTGGATTCATGAAATACTAAGTTTAGAAAAAATTCTAATCTAAATTACTGAAAGAATGATATAGGTAAAAGCTTCAATATTTAAATAAAGGTCATGTAATAAAGCTCATGTGACATTTGCAACTCACGTTAGCTTCAGATCAGAAAGAGCGTATTATCTAACATGCAGAGGACAGATGTCATTTAGACACAAATCAATTTTGTTACTATAATTTCACACCTGTTGTTACAGATTAAACAAGAAAAATATCCAGTTATTCAGTGATGGACCTTATTTAGCTATTAAACCTGTAATACACAGGATCGTGCCTACACTTTATAGAAAGCAATCCAACCTGACACTTTCATCTCTATCCAATTGTTTTCTTATTCAAAAACAGCAAGGAGGAGGTGCTGTAAATTGACTTCCTTTTCGTTTCCGTTAATTAGTTCAATGACAGCAAAAGCGCATCAGAAACAGGGTTAGTTTCACACACAATTTGATGCGTGCAGCCACAGGGTGGTATATGTAAATAAACATTTACATATACACACACACTTTAAACACCTCAGAAACATTAAGAGGAAATAAAAATAGAAGGGCGAAGAGAATGGTGTGGAGAGTCAAAAGAAGCAAGAAAATAAAGGAAAGAAAACCAAAGTGTTTCCATGCGGTGCAGATTTTCAAAGCAGTTAACATTTTCCTGCCCTCGGCTCTTAAGCAACATGTTCCTGAAAGTACTTCTGGGGCCTCGATGCATCTCTGAAGTACACGCTTATACACAGATTATCTCTAAGCACATGAGCACTGTCTTTTATGTACAGTGTACTTATGTTAAACACAGTAAGCAAAATTATTGCACACACACGTTGCAAGATCTGAAGCAAAAAATTATCTAGCACTAGATGATTAATTCCAACAAGGACAAGTAGGTAAGTTATGTAAAAAATAACAAACAGCTCTAGAATGATGTATATGCGTCAGCACTTGGTTCAGGTGTGCTTTGAACACTTAGCTGCAGTTATTACATATAATATTTTGAACATGTAATTCATAATATTGCTAAAAATGTTTAAGGCACCAATAAAAGCTGAAATTATCATAACAATCTGAAGTACTAAGTCACATATGACTAACGTATGATCTATGATTTCTACTCACAAAAAAAAAATCTACTATTAAAATTATGTCTACATAGATACATCAGTGTTTGTTTAATCCAGTTCAGCATGATTTGTACATCAAGATGCCTCCTTCTGTCCCCACTGCCACCACAGAATTGAGAAAACTGTAGAGTCATTTTTAATCAAGGGTTCCTGCACACAAAGATGCAGATACCTGCTTACTAGGACTACCAGAAGCTCCTTACAGTTACTAACTTTGCACAGCAGTTGCTTTCCAGCAACCTTTGTCACGCATTGTATAAAATAAGTATGTGCCTCTGAAAATTCAGTACCTTTGAAGCCACAGTTATTGGTTTGTATATTCTCTATGCAGTCTATAAATAATTCCAAACTGGTCATCTACAGAACTACAATGATTTCCAATAATATAAATGAAAATACCAAGGCCCAGACAAAATGCATATAAGAAGCGGCCATGCACAGTGCAGTTATACACGACTAATCAATTATACTAATAAATATTTATCAAAAGGTTGAAAAAAAAAAATCAACAAGAAACAATTAAAATTTTGTTTTTAATACCCTCTCCTGACTGAGACAGTCCTTACCATTATTCAATTTACAACTGAACTAGATTTAATATTGATATTTAATATTGAGTAATTAAATTAAAATAGAAAATGTGCAAGTAAATTGAGCTACAGAACTTCCAAGAATCGACATGAAATCATCATGTTCTCTAGCGGACAGGCAAGCAAGACAAAGGAGTTAAAAAATAAACAAGGTTAGGTTATGCCCTGTCAAAAAGCACGCAATGACTTATTTCAGTGACAGTTACAATTACTTCTTCCAAAGGAGAAGTTGGTCAGATGATTGGAATCTTTGAATTATAGCCTCATAGCAAATTATTAAATAAAATAGTTTACCATCTCTTTCCATTTGTTTCAAGCAAAAAGATTAGTGTGGTAAACAAGACACGTGCCTAATGATAAGGAATGTATGCCAAACAGCACACCTGAATGCTAAATTAAAACTTTTTATATGCAAGGGCAGTTAGACTTTCAACACTCGAAACACAGAGTACCTGCCTTGGAAGTCAGGATAACATTTACAAAGATAATCCTTACAGCTATTTCACAGCTTGGGAATTGTAGAATTAGTTGCAAGAAAGTACCGACAAGGCAGAACTTCAATCACAAACAAATGTAGTATCAGGCTCATTTTTTTCCTGATTGTGTTTATTAGGCTGATACATTTTTATATATCAAACATTGTATTGCCTTTCCACTAATTTTTACATCTTCATATACTTTATATAAATTGTAAGCTACTACTCCATACTTCATCTCTCTCAATAAACTGTATACAATCTGACAGAGGCTGAACGAGTTCTCTTTATTAAGAGCAACTGAACAAATAGAGAATATTTAGACCACTGAAGACATCTTTATTCTTCTACTAAAATACACATCTAGAAGGAAATGAATGCAAGGACATTTGTAGGACACCTTTTGAGATAAAATAATCTCAAAGAATTGCATTTTCATTATATTTTGTTATACAATGCCTAGATTCATAACAGAGGACAGAATACATCAGTGTTATTTTAAATCCAGAAAGAATATTAACAAAATAAATTTGAAAAACAAAATGAGGGAAAATTGCCTTTCACCATTTTATTTAAATTAAAGGAAGATTAAGAGTTTAGAGGGACCAGGGATTGTAACTCTAAACCATAAAAAAAATAACAAGGCAAGAAAGTAAAATATTTCAAATGCAACTTCAGTTTCAGGGAACTAAGTGATTTACTCTGTTGACAGACTAAAAAGCATGACAATTGCAGCCATGCAACTATGTCTAAAAGTTTAATTAGCATTTGTTCCTCTTTCTGTGGGAGTTATCTTCAGATGTACAGAAGATTAAGTTCTGTATCCAGTGCTCAATTCCAAAGCTGTTGAAATATATGAGTAATCAGAAAAATTTTCTGAGGACACAGAAGCAGCCAACAATGCAATGTGGTTAAGAATTACAGGTTGTACACAGATTCAACAACGAAGACACCCCAATTTTGGAAGCGTTTCCAATTCATCTCAGCCATATAATAATGAATAAAATGATCAGAGCTAAAATTAAGTGATGTGCAGATATTCAACCACCACAGCGTATCAGTATAAACTGTGCTGTAAGAGGGAAAACAGACAAAGGAATACCTTTGATGAATACACAGTAGAGACTGTTATTAACAGCAGTATTTAATTGTCTGTGCAAAATTGTTTCTAAGGATCTGCTGTCATTTTCAGATTGGTAACAGTATAAAGCAGGACAAAATGTTCCCAGAGCTATATTGCCTGTAAATAGCTATAGTCTTACAAGATAGAGCTACAGTAAGCAAGCAACAGCAGAGAAAACCAACCCTGACACTTACTCACATACCTTCCTTAAATGCATTTTTAATGTATGAACTTTAAATTAGAGAGGCAGAGAACATACAATTTCAAAGTGACACAAAGTACTTGTTTGGCTTTTGACACCATGCTTTAAATGCAACTTGTTTAAACTGAAACAGTACTATACACCTGTAGCAAAGTTGGCTGAAATAATTATTTGGGCCCATGATTTAATTAGTTAGATTTTTCTAGTTCAAATGCAGAAGGCTGAAGTATTTGATTAGTGTGAATACAGTACAAATTGTCCCTTAAGCCATCACCTTTCGCTTCTGCTGGGAAGAGCCCATGTTATACTGGCCAGCGGCTCTGCGCGCTTCCTCTTCGTGCTGCTGGATTTGTTGTTGTAACAGAATGAGTTCACCAAGCAGGCCCTGCCATGAGTTTATAATAAAAAGGAGAGGAAAAATTTGGGGTGTAAGGAGAGCAGAAGTTAAACCAAAAGGGCATGACAAAGACAGATGAAAAACAGGTATGAATGGGTCAGTTCAAACAAAAGTGAAATTTCATTACCAAGATCTCTTGCTACTTAGCTGGAGTGGATAAAGCCAGCAAGACCATGCATTTTGCAAACCCAGGTAGAACAAAACAGTAAACATTTACCTATATTTTATAATTATATGCAACTTTAATTAAGCATCTCAATCTCAAAAAAAAAAAAAAAAAAAAAAATCAACCGACCTGGCTTTAAAACATTAATTTCAATTATTCACACCAGAAGTTCTTAAGTATCAGCAATTTTTCACAACTTAACCATGTGCATATTAAAAGAGAATGTTTTCGATATTTGGCACAAAGTTGTGCACAACAGCTAAGTGGCTCAACTTTGTCAGTAACATAAAAGTTCTCATTTTGTTCTTATTCTCAGCAACACTGACAGTTCATAGAAAGATGATTTTGGCTAATTAACTTTCAAACTAGGAGAACCAAACTAATTTTTAGAGAAAAAGAAAGGAAAAACTCCCTCTCCACTTCTGTAACATACTGCAGTTTAAATCCATGCTGTAATTATCCTTCCTGATCACTTCAAAATCCCTGCAACTTTATGCTTATTCCTTTACTTATTCAGCATTTCCACAAAGATTAGTTTTCTTCTCCTCTCCCTCCACACCAAATATGCTTGTAATAGTAAGCAGTCCTTCAAATTTGGTTTAGAAATACTATGCCAGCATCTACTGGAACTTTATGTACCATTTATTTCAGAGAATGTAGACAGACGTATTAATGAACTATTTAAATAAAGCTCTTTAAAAAAATATTACACCTTCTTCTATGAAAACATTCAGTGAAAAGAAAGGTTTCAAAATGCACTACAGGAATCAAAACAAATCCCAAAGTAGAACTTCGGTGTAAAAATTCAAGATATCTACCATGAAGTTATACATTTGTTGCACGAAATATACACACAGGCATGTACACATAAGGATAAACAACACAGGAGAGAATGGATAAAAGGAGAGACAATCAGATGACCAAATATAAACATTTGTTAAATAGTGATTTGTCTAACATTTCAAAAATAGAAAAATCTTCACATTATTTTACTGAATCATTTTAAGGTTTAATAAATTTCTACATTGCCAGGCTAGCAAATGCATTAGAACTGTGCCAAGGAATCAGGTGAAACAAAAGATTTCATTTCTATACAGCAGCAAGGAGGTACAGCCTCACAACTACACTTAATATTAGAGGAACAATAATAATGTTTTGTCATTTCATAAACAAGGAAACTCTCAGTATGACTGACACAGTCCTTTCAAAAATTATGCTATGGGTCAAGAAAATACAAGAAAAAACACTGAACAAAACCTGTCATGAAGGCCTTTTATCATTCAAACAGGCACTGTAACAAATGTTTGAAGCCACCAGATGCAACTGTTTATTGTGCAATTACTTTCTAAGACATGTGGTCCATGTGACTTTTACTCCACAATAAAGTATGAAAAGTCCTTTTCAACTACAGTTAATCCCATTTAATAAAATATTTAAGTAAGAAAATACAGTGATTTGAAAGGCTTCTCAATAATACTTTCTTCTTTGTACATATCAGCCAATAATCTTATTTCCTTTATTTTCTATTTCTTATTTTGTAATTTTGAATTAAATAAATAAATATCAAGAACCTTAAACAGCACAGAACTATACACACAATGCCCACACTGGTATGAACCAGGACACAAGCAAAAATGTTGGCATCTCTCTGTCATTGGACACGACCACTGTTTCCCCCCCCACCAAAAACCAATCATTCTAGTGTAAAACTGTATTTATTTTAAAGAATTTTATATAGAAAAATCAACATTGATCAATTAGCGGGACTCAAACCCCAATTTGTTCATAATCATTATATTATTATTTTCATTATCAAAGAAACAACTTAAAAGGGAATAACACTAGTTGACAAACGCAGTGGCACAAACCCTGCAAAGTCATCATGAGAATCTGTGTGCACAATAAATAAAATAAGTGTTGACATTGTTAATGCATATGCTTTTTAAAAAATACATTATTTTTATATTAAAAGTTTGTATGCTGTACTTCAGTTGAGTACGACTATCTCTCTAATTTAAAAGTTCCTCATGACTCAAGTATTTTTGTGTCCCATTTTCACCAGCAACCAAAGCCCTGTCTTTTTGCGTATCTCGACTCCTTCTGCTATTTCCCACTGATTTCAGTGTGACTGTTCATGAGAAAAGCTGAGCCACAGTAAGTCCTTGCAGGAAAAAATAATGAAATGCTGAGGGATGTACAGGGGTGAAATTGATGAGGAAGGTAAAGAGATCAACTTCTATGAATTTGAATAAATGTCACCATTTTATCCAGAGTATCTATAATACGAAACTGGGAATTGGGAATATAATGGAGCTATGAATAGAAACGAGAAAATTATGGAAACTTTGTTGCATAACTTGCAAGAAAAAGTGAAACAAATAAGAATGTTAAAAAAAAAACAGTCAAGCAATATTCCTTACTAAATCCTCCTTTTCACACTCCAGCAGTAGCTGTAGTGAAGAGCTGCAGCATTATTGTGCTGCTGCTTACACCAACGGAAGGTGACCCTTTGTTGGCTGAGTGAGGCAGTCTACGCACTGCCACATCCTCAACAGTGCATCAGGTTCTTCAAGGCATGGGAGTTTATCAACGTACCAAAGGCATGGGTAGGGCTGTGTGGTTGGTTTTGAAGTATTTATCTGGCTTCTACGCCCCAAATAGTACTTGAGTCCCATTTTTCACACCCACTTCATCACAGCTATAACCACTATGTATTTTCTTTAGAAATGGGGCTAAGCTTTGGAATTTGCTTGCTTTAAGAGGAAGATGAAACTCTTCAGGAGATTTTTTTGGAAACAGAAAATTATCTTGCACTATTGTCTAAGAAGGTAATGCTGCCATTTCAAGTGCAAGCCTGAACTAGTCCCATGCATAGAACATAATAAAATATTTTACTACACTATAGCTTTTATAACTATCTTCTTTCTCTGAGAACAAAATTTCTTACTTAATTCAAGTAGAAACAGATCTAAACTCCGCTTATTGAAATCACTTATCTGAACACTCCAGTAATTTTTATTTTGTTTTCTTTTGAAAAAGTTGTACCTTTTGTATTAAACGAGAGATTATGAGATAAATACCACATTAGCTGGCAAGAAGCAGTAGAGCCTGTTTTGGTGTTTGGGACCATGCTCACTCTCTCAAAGTTATCTTGTAAACTAGTTTCTCACTCATTCTACAACAAGTTTTTAGAGACCCGTCTGAAGACCATGCCCAATAATGGTACTACAGAACATTCTGCCAAATGAGGAATTCCTAGATCTTTACTAGTTACTTACTACTTTCATTCCACAGCGAAACAAAGAAAACCAGCTCATCAGCCATCAGACACATTGAATACCATGCTACAGCACTTCACACATCCATCCAATCATAATCCTTAAACTAGTATTGATTGTCAGTTGAAAGCATTGAATGAAAAAAGGCCATCTAACTCATTGTCTAGAAAATAATAATTTTGCTTGCCAATAAATCAAGTGATTATGTTATGTGAGCTATTCATATGTGCCTTGTTTGAAATATTATGACCAAAATTGATCATATAAATTAGCAAAATAACAGTTTAAGCCAAACAAATAGGCTATAACTGGAGTAACAAACATTAGTGCACAAGACTAAAATTTAAAAGTCATACTGGTTTAATATGGGCTGATTTTTTCTATACCACAGCCAAACTTTTGTTGGCAACATTAAAATGCAGTTGTCACTGCATCTGAAAAAACAGATTAAGTATTAGTGATATTACTGGCACTCAGTAAAAATCTCAGTTAATTTGGTTATCAAAGACAATAAATTAAGATGGCGATTTCCCCACAAATCAATAGTAAAGTATTTTTATGTTTTACACAGTGAAACCTGTGCTAAGCAATCACTCAAGAGACAGTAAAACATTATATTATAGACAGTTTACTGACAAAGGGAAAAGCAAAAGCTAAATCTTTTCCACATGTAGAAATCCATCACTGTTCCAACAGTAAGAACATAACTCTAAAAAGTGAGCTTTGTACAGGTTTCACTATGTGTTTCCATGCAGAACTCATGTAGAATAAATGTATACATGCCTGCATATACAAAAATATCTTTGATGTAAAAGCCCCAGTTTCTAAGTTCAGACACTAAGTTTTCAGTTGTAAAAAAAATAAATTAATAATTTACAAATTCCTGATATATATTTTAAACAGTGGAAGGAAAACAATAAGTATTTTTTAAATACACACAGGAAAAAGTAAAAGCTTTAAAGAATGAGGCACATTACAATTTAGGAATTTAACAGAAATAAGATCTACTATTCACAAAGGCAAAAAATTAAAACTTCACATTCTTTACTTCAAGGAAAAATGCTAAAACTTTTAGTTATTAAAATACAGTAACATTTTTTTCCAGAAGATAGTAACAAAAGTGTGATGTACACTTTCTAAATACAGAACGTAAAAAGACAGACTGCTTTAAGAAATAGAAGCTCTTTATTAAGGCAGAGATCCTTAAGTAGGAATCACAACTGTAAAAGTGTCAACAGAAATGAGGTTACAAGCAGAAATACTTGAAAAGAACTAGAAAAGCCTAAACCAAATTCAGTAAAAAGCTATAAGCTCAAGTGCCACTGAGAACATCCCCGGAAAAATGGATTTGCCATTTTGGACAAAAAAATACCTAAAATTACATTCTTATTACAAACCATGTTTCTTAAGAATGCAATTCCTAATAAAGGTTTATAACTGCCTTGTATTTTCCTTGCACCAACATGTTTATTATGATTGTACTGTGTGTATATTGAAAACAGCAGTGCATACTCAAGTAATTTTCAAGCTGCTTCAAATAAACATCTACAACTAGCTATTAAAGCACTTCTAAAATATTACCTGTTGTCAAGACATTTTTAGTTTTGCAAGACAGGAATTACCTTCTTGTACTGTTTGTCATTCTCATATCCCTGGTCAGTAGCTCTGAATGCTGTTTCTCCTGGCGAACCTAGGACATAATTACAGAAACTCATTATAACATGCAAGAGACACTTAAAAATTCTCAAACTACACCTAATATAAGATTAAAGTCTCAACGCCTATGAATTATTATTTCAACAATCTCTGAAGTTGCTATCAACCAAAAAAGGTTCACCATAAGAAACTGAAAAAGAAATTCAGTTTAAAACTCATCTATATCTTATATCTAGTTTGTTACTCAAATTTGTTATATTGTAAGGGAACAGTCAGCTTCAATTAGACTATTAAAGTTCTGAAACCTTTTAAAAATTATTTCTGATAGACATGAATGGGTAATACAAATTCCATTGGTATTATTGTAACAAGAAAAAAATTATATTCTTTCCTACTGTAATGACATAGGTTTTCAAAACAAGCTTCTGGAAAATGCCTGAAATAACAAGCATCTGCTAAGGACTCTGGAAGAGAAATATCAACTAGTCGTCTATTCATTCTCATGGGGGTGGATCCAAGCATTGTTAAAAATAATTGGAAAATATTTGTAATTCGATATGAAATTCCTGTAAATAGTTGTGTTCACACTGATAGTCACTCCTCTTCGTATAGCAGTGTTTTAAGAGTTTCCTTTAAAGAGGCAGGTTAAGGGCAGTAAAAAGGGCTTTTACACACCTAACAACAGAAGTAGATCAGAAGCTCCTATGACTTCACTAACCAAATTGTAACCTGTGAAAAATCAGCAGAAGAGGGGAAATAAAAATTATAAATACAAAACAGAATGCAAAGCAAAGATGAGGGATCTTTGTCTCATTTGGAGGACCACGCGACCATAAATGTCAACTATGCCCAAGTGAGTATGATAACAATCATAGGTGACATCTCACGATACCAGTCAATAACACCACAATTTTAAGCAGCCAAAATCTTTAACAGTGAAAATACATAGGAGACTACTACTTGCACTTTATTGAACTTCATCTCTACTTAGTTGCTCATTCAGTTTATAAGTAAACTAGTTCCACCATTAATGGTATTTTAAGAAAATGAAAATATGCTTCTTATGCACGCTGATACGGAAATATTTTCAAACACACTTAGAGCAATGACTATGACACCTCATAGATATAATCTTTCACAAATACAAATGTATGTAGCTTGATAATTATTAAGGTATTTAATAGGAAGATTCTTTCACTCTATTACAAGAATGACTGGGTGAAGTTTTGAGCTGTGATAAAGAGCAAGTCAGATATGATGATCAAATCAATCATTTTCTAGTTTTAAGAAGGCCACCAATCAGAAATGGCTTATTTACATCTCCCAAAACCTGAACACCACTAAGCCTGCTACTGTCTAGGCACACTGAATCGAAAAACCATCCCTCTGCTTTCTGTGAAGCATTTAGAACTTCTAACTACTCCTTTGAAACATAGTCCCTACCTAAGCTAAATCTTCAAGCAAGTCCTTCTGGAGCTATGTGCAGGTGAAAAATATCACTCAACCCAGAAGAATACCTTCATCACAAATCTCTTATTTCACATGCTTACAACATTAAGAGTCATCATTCTTAATAATACAACTTGTTTCTCCTGTAACAGTCATGGTACTGTTACTGTCCAATGCCACTCTCACCTTCTCCAAATTACAGCTGGACATGTCCAGTTTTTGACTCACTGAAGCAATCTGGCTTTCAATCTGTTTGTTTAGAGTTGTACAAAAATTCCAGTTTAATTCAATTTCACATTTTGATTCTCACTACTTGCTACTAGAATCCTTGCTTTTAAAAACGCATTACTTACCTGTGTCCATAACACTTTCAGACGAGATAGTCACTGAAAAGTCATACATTTTCAGGATCTGCTTTCTTTTAGTGTCTAAGGATGTATGTGTAACCTCATCTTGTAATAGTTTATGTTTTCAAAATTAAAACTAAGCTGAAAAATTGTTCTCACCAGGAGAAAAAAATCCTTTCAGCGACGTAAAGCTCTCTCCAATCTTGTCAAAGTCAGGCAGAATTTTGGCAAGGTCATCTGCATCAGGAAAGGCTTTGATAAGTTTTTCTAGGAAAACAGTACAACAGCTAATGAGTATTTTTTCTTTCCTATTATTTTCATGAACAAAAATGGCTTAGGCTATAAAAACTAGCAACTGTTTCAGGAGATGTTTTTCAATTTTTTTTAAAAAATAAAGGATTAAAAAATTTCTTTCCACATGCACCTCCCCCTGTTAGTGTTGAGAAAGATTATCAGATCTGAAAAACCAATTGCATTTTTGGACTTTGAACTTCCTGATAAGTTGGTTGCCTCGGTCCTTTCGAATACTCTAAAACTCATTGCTGCATCTCACCACATTTCATACGCTATTCTCTCATGTATTTTGTAGAGGATGTTTTAAAATTACACGACACTGCGTCTATGCCCACCTCTTGTACATTTAAAGATTATTTTTCAATTTCATAAATAAGACAATTTTGTAATCCTTTAAAAATAATTATTCGCTTTAGAGTACTATAAGAATGTAGTGTGCACTAGCAATAAAAACAAGAAAACATTTGCCTCAGTTATTCAATCTCTGCATTTATCTATGCAATGCACCTTATTACCCTGCATATGTAAGAAGTAACTCAGTGCTTGTTTTTTAGATATCTATCTTTCATCTGAAAATATGCCTACTGTAACCAGAAGGTTCAGGAGAAAAAAAAAAAAAAAAGAGTCTGTATTTTTCATTTTCTTTTTTCTGTATCTTCAAGATAATTTTGTAGATAGGTAGGTCCACTATTCTGCATTTTCAATTGGTCTTTTAATCATACATATCTTTAACTTATCTATTTATATTTTTTACTTGTAACTGTCATTCACACAGAAAGAAAGAACTTTTGTGCATCATACTGCAAAAACCTGTGTAAGTCCCCTTGATCACATTGCAAGTCTCCTTTCAATAATGGGATTACATAGCCGTATGAAAGGACCAAGAACATTCTCAAATGAAAGGATGAATTACAGAATATCAATGCTAAATGATGCTTAATTTCTTCCTACAGACACACTGATACAAACACCTTGGTAAGACGCACACCAAACTAACAGTAGAAGTTCACTCAAACTGCAGCTCTAAGATGTTACTGCATTGGGGAGAGGCACTGAGGACCTACGCCCTTATGTTTAAATTGTACATATGCTAGTCTTTAGATAGAGTAGCATTTTAACTTTTGTAATACCGAAGTCAATATGTTCATCAAGCTCCCAAATGAAGTCAGGAACAATCCACTTATACTCATCGAGATCTGGCATCATGTCCTTCCACTGATCATACGTCTAATATAAAAAGGAAAAAAAATATAGTAGAAACAGAAATACAAATGTATGAAGAGAAGCATGTAAGCAATCTATTGAAAAGTAATACCTACATATAAAACATACTAAACCACCATCTTTTAGATATGAATAATACTACTTGGCTCTCTTAAAATGTGTACTAGTTCTCTAAACAATCTGTTTTCCATTTTCACTCATCTTTATTGTCATCCTGTAATGATATCCTGTAATTTTGGTGGATATACCAGGAACTATTGTTCTGAAACATAACAACAACAAAGACAAAATGCATGAAATAGCTTCCACAGATAAATACCTTCTTAGCTGTATAACCACCACCTACAGCAGATCCTAATATAAGATAGCGAAGTTTGAGAAGCCTTGATGCTAGTCTAGCTAGCCAAAAGTTCCTGTGGGACTGGTATCCATATTTTACATCTAAAAGTTTTGTTTTACGCAGAGGAAGACGATTAAGAGAAGAGAACAGCTGAATGGATATCCTCAATGGAGGTCTCTGAAATTTTGAACTTGGGTAGTAGGGATGATGTATACTTCGGGAAACAAGATGCAAGTTTTGAAGTGGTGATTTTCTTTTTATTGCATAGCTGCTATTTGCTAGACTCCGGCAGATGACACTAAAAGAAAGAAATAAAAAGAGTAAGTAACAGATTTCCTCAACACACCACTAACTCAATAACCTCTTTAGAAGCAATTCACATTACATTTTAGCTGGTTACAGATGAATTAGAGCATCACTCTGAATGTACAATTTCCAGCTATCATTGCTATGGTACCAGGAAAATAAAAAGCTGTAAACAGTGTTAATGGGTATAGCATTTCTAGTGATTACAGAAAGAAAACCTTAAATACCATTTATGAAGTCTGTTATGAATTAAATTTAACTTCCACACTGGATTAAGGCAAGGAACATGTCTGTGGTAAAACACAGTTTGGGCAAACAGGAGCTAAGAGTCCACAGAGGACTATGATCCACTTGCAACATAAAAGAAAACTTGACAGTTTGGCCTATTTTGTTATTAAAAACAAACTTTTAGAGAACATTAAGTCTGTAGAGGATTTGCAAATTTCAAGAAACAATACACTGACAAAATCCCTCTGCTAAATACATTTGTCCTCTTGGCAATGTAGATTCTCCTTTAGAGTTGAAGCATGTACTTAATGACATCTTTCAGTTCCTTTCACTCTAATATTCTGCAGCTCTAGGATTACAGCATTATTGTTTTGTCTTAGGTCACGCGTAGACAAGAATACTTCTGGACATGGCTGCACCATGTTTGTTGAAGACTTCAATAAATTAATTCAGATTTATGCAAGATTGAAAATTTCAGTCTGAAAGATAAAACAGTGCTCAGCCATGAAAAGCAGATGTTAAGACACAGGACCCTCATCAATCCTGCCTATATTAAAGCACATGCATAGGTTGGAATAAAGCTCTTTGTACAACTTCAGTTACATTATCTGCATGCTTCAACATTTTGAGGTAGCTTTGCTAGTTTAGGGAAGAAACAACAACTTGGGAAAAAGCAATTTCTTCTGTAACTTTTTAGTCTCTCTATCATATCAGAATGGTTAATACTAAATCATTTACTGGATGCAAAGTAACTTCACTGGAGTGAAGTTGCAGTTCTTGAAATTAATGTTGTTCCTTGATTTTTTTTTTCCCCCAGAGTTTTCAACATTATCAAGTTTTCCCCCAGAGTTTTCAACATTGCTTTCAAAGGGGACAAATACAAAAGAAGATATATAGAAGTATAAAATACTATGGAGAAGGCAGATTATTCACCCTGTCACCCTAAATAATTTAAAATTAATGGATCCTAAAGAGAATAAGTGAATCTCATAAAATGGAAAATATTACAGCACTTTCTAATAATGTGCTCTATAGTCTATACAGTTTTTTGCATTGAGTTTTTCCAGGTGCTAGAGATGACATTGTCTATGACAGGCATAGTCTTAACGTCCAAAGAAATGGAAGACTTTGTTATAAAAGCACTTTTGACCCAGAAATTGAGCTTTTGGAAGATAGATTAAAAATCAGAATTATGTGAATTGAGACATTTTCCTCTCTTAAAAGACCAATTCTCCCGATGATCTATGTTTAGAAATTTCCTTTAGTGTAACAGAAAGCTTACAAAAAGGGAACTCCACCGACTGTTATGAAAGTCCTCTTTCATAAAAGTCACTATGATTTTGAAGAGTATCCTCTTGCTGCTATACTTCTTTAAACTATGCAGAAGGCTGTGCCTTTGCAATAACAAACTTGGTATCTAGAATGAGCATAACAAGCAGGAGCAGAATAATCCCTAAAGTAGTGACAAGTTTCTCCTCTCTGACACGGAATTACAAGAGGCTCAGAAACCAACCACAGATAGTACCAATACAAAAGCGGCTACGTGACAATAAAAAAAAAATTCCCTCCACACTAGAAATGTTTCAATTCCTGCTTTTGAACACAGTTTTTTAAACCAAGGTGCACTAAGCCTGTACAAAGCAAGCTTATGATGGAGACGTTATTTGTTTTGCAGTCACTGCCATTACACAGATATTTCATATTTGCAGAGACCAAGTGGTGGTAGTACATACTATGGCGGGCACTTCTCATTATTAATCTTAACCTAGGTTAGAAGCATTTTTAAATATCACATAATTTTCTTCTCTAAAATTGTTCTTTTAAAATACACTGTCTTCTATAGCATTCTTTCTGTATGATTAAACTGAAGAAAAATTTAGTTCCATTGAGTTCATGGCAAGAACTTGATCAACAATTGCCTTTTAAGAGCTATGGCATATTTCAAACCCTACCTGCTTTAATTGTACACATAAAATCTATTTCATTAAAAAAACCCATCATTCTACCAAATCTTACATTTTCTCCTTCCTTCTCTCCTCCCGCTGCTAAAAACTACTGAATGCTGACCAAAAAAAACACAACACCATAAGATCTTCACTGAGAAGTGCAGTTAGACTGAAGAGGGTGCCAAAACAATGCTATTAAATTAAGTATTTAATGAGTTTCAAATTTAAAGCCTCTGGAAAGCAATTTTTAACAATGATTAGCCTTCCAGATATGAGTAGCTCTGTCATTAGAACCTGCCTGATTACAGGCCTACAACCCAACTACTCATGCATTGCACTGACATTATAGATACCTTATAAAACAAGAGAGAGTGGCCTGTTACTACTGATAGCCAAGCATCCCACCTGAAGTCAGACCTAACATTTTACACCTATTGCTCCAGTTTAAGAGTTCAAAAAGTCCCCACCTCAGCTGGGTCAAATTTTCTATAAAGAAGGTTATATACACTTTGAATAGCTATAACTGCGAAGCAGTCTGCCAAATGTAGTCCAACAAAAAGCACTGTGGTATTTTCTTTCTCATTCAGCACCAGACAACACTTATTTTACTACTGCTGCTGCCAGTTTTGCGAGAAACATCGTGAGATTACAGGCCATTCAGTTTTACCGTTCCTGTCTGGCATCGTGTAGGAGAACGATGAAAAACAAGAGGAACGCAGGGAAGACGCTGGGGAGAGCCGCCGGGTGGGCACAAAGTAGCGGGATACCCAGGGCGGGAATGCGGGATACGGCAGCTCACTTCCACTTCGCACCCGCAGGTCCCAGGGGAGCCGGAGGATGCGGAATTTCCCCTCCTGGGAGCAGCAGCCTCACCCCAGCAGGCCTCAGGGACCACACCTGCGCCTTTCATACACAACCGCCCCCCACACCTCGCACCCCGACCCCGCTGTGCGGCTCCGGCCTCCCCCACGGGCACCCCCGTTCCCATGGGTCCCCGGGGCTTGCTGAGCCGCGACGGGTGTTACAACCGACACCGCGCCCGG